ACATAAACCAACTGTTTTAGGTGGCCCCACAGATAAAGATCCAAGGATTGAGGTTACGAGAATGTGCAGGCCATGAAACCGCTCCAGCCCTATGTATCCCTCTTTTATGGTAGATATCAGCCAATAATAAGAATAATTTGACTGTGCTGGGGCCTTATCATGTATGAACCAGATGCGTCATTGTATTATCATGGGTACGAAAGTGCTTTCAAATTAAATCCCCGGTAGACAGCTCCTGTAAGACATGCTGGGAGAACATATGGAACTACCAGGCGGTCACCTACAATTCCAGCCCACTCATTAATCGTAAACTGATGTTGTTGTGTATCCTGTATGTACCATAGGTATGATCCGTCAGCAAATGTTGGTCGTGTTAATTTGTTATTCCATCTCTTCTGTTGTCTCATCCGTAAGCAAGACTGAAGACACAAACAACGGATGGTTATTTTGAGCAATGAACAATGAACGCAAAACTTCCCTCGGGGTGACTGGTCAGAGAGTGAAAGACACGGCAACGTTGCAAATGATACGGATACAGGAGTTGTTCTTAAAGTTCCCTCTATGCGTTAATAGATGTACGACATGCTAGGACCACTTCACGTGTGCTGACACCTGGATGTGTTCTTCGTGACCAGGCGTACGAGCAGATCTCGGTCTTCTTCAATCTATAGTTTGCGGTGCCACGGATCCTGTTTCAGCCACCCTACTATAAACAGCAGCAAAGATTGAATAACTCGGCAGCCTTTGGTCTGCAAACGCAATCTGATACAGACGTGCAGCCTCGCGTCTATTACCATTACCGGCCGTATCTAAAAATCATATCTACCTGCCTCCGAGATGAATTTGCAGCCATTGTTAAACGGAACAGTTCTCAGTTAACTCACTATGATCTACGTGAAATGCTGAAGTCAGATTAGCCAAAGATATACACGAGTGGCAAATATAACCTAATCTACATAGGAACACAACGCCATCAACCATTAATTTTCTTTAAACTTAACAACTCAAACACAAAGGACGTGCGGACATATATTTATATGGACATTTTTTATTTTCGTATGAGGTACCAACCCCAGAGTTTGTAAAAGCATTCTTGATATACCATATATATATATATATATATATATATATATATATATATAAAGGAGATAGATAGATAGATAGATAGATAGATAGATATTAACAGGCTGAGATAGATATAGATATAGAAAAGGTGTGTGTGTTATTAACAGGCTGAGATAGATAGATAGATAGATAGATAGACTGTAATATTAACAGACTGAGATAGATATATAGAGAGAAAGAGTGAGAGATATTAACAGACTAGGATAGATAGATAGATATGAATTGAAGGAGAACGGTACAGGTAAAGCCATAAGGTAAAAAGAACTCCAATATATATATATATAAGAATAAGTGAAAAAACTCATATGAGAACGACTGAAAATTAACTGCGAAAATAAATGAATTCATTATGTCTTAGTTCCATGTTGACTCCAATGTTATTTCCTTTAAACTTAATAAAACCGACTGACAAAACCGAACAGCCGGCGGTGGTAGTTTTATGACTGAGTCTGCGTCATTTTTAATCTGAACGCAAAATTACTTTGCGAAATGTTTCATATTGGCGAAACCATGATTGAACGAGTCAAATTCATCAACAAATTCAAAAGCCCAGCGGCGAATCTTTTAACAATTCATTTATAAACAGCCGTAATGTAATTTAGGTTGCGTTAAACATTGTGGGGAGGAATAACTAGACATTACTCTAAATTCCTTAATGTTTCGATTTTGACTATTTCCGTTGAAACCTCTTTCATTCTTTGTCTTCATTACTTCTATTTTTTTATTTGAATCCTACTTACGGTTCGTTCTTTCTTTCTTTCCGTCTTTCTTTTTTTTTCTTTTTTCTTTCTGTCTTTCTTTCTTTCGTTCTTTCGTTCTTTCTTTTTTTCTTTCTTTCCGTCTTTCTTTCTTTCTTTCGTTCGTTCTTTCTTTCTTTTTTACTTTATATATTTATTTCTGTTTTTCCTTTTATCTTTTTTCTTTCCGTCTTTCATCTTTTCTTTTATCCTTCTTTCTTTCTTTCTTTCCGTCTTTCTTTCTTTCTTTTTCTTTCTTTCCGTCTTTCTTTCTTTCTTTCTTTCCGTCTTTCTTTTTTCTTTTTTCTTTCCGTCTTTCTTTCTTTCCGTCTTTCTTTCTTTCTTTTTTCTTTCCGTCTTTCTTTCTTTCGTTCTTTCTTTCCGTCTGTCTTTTTTCTTTCCGTCTTTCTGCATTTCTTTTTTCTTTCTTTCTTTCTTTCTTTCTTTCTTTCTTTCTTACTTTATTTATTTCTGTTTTTCTTTTTATCTTTTTTCTTTCCGTCTTTCATCCTTTCTTTTATTCTTCTTTCTTTCTTTCTTTCTTTCTTTCTTTCTTTCTTTCTTTCTTTCTTTCCAAACTGTTACGTTTCATTTGTTCATCGGTCATTTTCCTTGTTTTCTCGCAATATCTTTGGTTACTGATACCTTAATTTGTTTCTATCAGCTTCAATCTGTTCATACATACATATATATATATATATATATATATATATATATATATATATATAAAAGGTGGGAACGAGATATCAGCCTACTAGCTCGCTTAAAGACATGCAGTATGGCTAGGGACCAGCAAAAGTAGCTAGTCGGAACAGTTGCCGTGAAAATACTTGTAGAAAAGACAGAGGGAAGCCACGGCACGTCTATCGGAAAGCGACTGTAGACGAAATGCCAGATCAGGTCCTATCACATTGCATATTCGTCTCTGGATTTTGTCGAGGGCCTTGCAACGTACAACGGTGGCACCAGACCATATATGACAGCAATATTCCATACAAGGTCGGAGGGATGATTTATAGATTTGAAAGACAAACTCAGACGAGAAAAATTTCTGGCACGACACGTTGAGCCAACTTTCCTTGCGGTAGATGAAGCTATTGATTCAATGTATTCGTTGCACCTCATGTCAGCGGACAGCGTGAGACTAAGCAGACGTAACGAGGCGCTCTCGAGGAGTTGAGCATCAGACATGCTGATAGGAGGCAGGGAGGGTTCTCTGCGGTGGGTAAAGAAGAGCAGTTTCGTTTTGGAGGCGTTAAAGTAAACAAGCCATTTCCTGCCCAGGTCAAACAGAGATTGTAGGTCCATTTCAAGATCAGCGGCCAGGTTAGTTTTGTCAACGATACCAGAAGTTTGAGCATTGACATAATTTTGAAATAGCATATGATTTAGTGAGTAATTTTGTCATCGTGATTTAATAATTGATTTAATTATACGTAAATTATATTATACATATTCGTCCGTGTTTCTAGTTTAATTTCATACGTTTTAAATACGTATTTCATCATAAGTTCCTCTTTAAACCATTTTTGTGTCTATATTACGGATTGTCTTAAATTAAAATGAAATGAGGGCTTTAAACACCTTCACGAATTAGCAGAAACATCTAGCATCATGTCATCAAGCACTAGAAAGTTCAAATGCAAAAACAACACCGATTCCTTTTATTTTATACTAGCAGTAGAGACCGGCGTTGCCCGGGGATGTAACAGTATGAGATAGATCAAGTATCGACCATCATAAAGACTGAAAAATAAAATTGACAAAGATTATTGTTTAAGGTTGACGGACACGCATGTCTTAATTATTTTTTTTTGTTTTTTTGTTTTTTTTGTTTTGTTTTTTAAGAATTGGTCAAACCCAAATTCAAACAAAAACATTGTTTTCAATCGTTATGAGTCTATCGATTGAATAGAATTTTATCATAAACAATTATCTTGTAAATGGAATTTTTAAAGCATTCTGTATGTAAAAATAAAGAAAAAAGTGTGCAAGACAATAAGAAACACTACCTGCCAAAAAAAGTGAAGTTTTGTTGAAATCGGTTGAAAAATGTAGGAAATCCGATCCCATATATAAACGAACACACACACACACACACACACAACCTGGGTTTTATAATAAGTGTAACTCGATATGAGTTGTTCCCATTACATTCTCGCGATAGCGATGCCTCTTAATCGTGTTTTCAAATTGATTTCGTGCAAAAACAATTGTGTTTTTCCCATTTTTGGCACTGTCAGAACCACCACAAGGTAATTTTACGTAGTCCTGTGAAGTTTTGTTGAAATCGGTTGAAAAATGTAGGAAATCTGATCCAATGTATAAACGAACAGACACACACACACACACACACACACAATCTGGGTTTTATAATAAGTATGATGTGGAAATTTTACACGAGCAAATATAACTAACTTTGTAAGAAAAGCTTAAACAAAATTTTACCAAAAATATTTACAAAAATCTCAAATATTGCATAATGATGAAACATATAGAAATGTTAAAAAATGTTAAGAAATGTTAAATCTTTGGGTGATAACTTTTGATAAAGTTCATAAAAACAAGTCTCTGTTCGCTTTTGGTAAAACCTTACAATTACTTTCCATACCAGATGCGGCGGGAACTTACTAACCAAGAGACCGTTTGCTACATTTGCTTTGTCAAGACTTTAGGCTTTACTAAGACAAATAAACATTGTACCGAGAACCCAAATTTTGATATCGAGATACAAACCGTGCTACATTCAAATGAGATCGCCATTTAAAAATTTAAGGGTCTACCAACACAACTCTTTAGTCCTTTTCTCCTCTATGGTTGGTTGGGGGGGTCTTACTCGAGTGAGGAATCTGCGAAGTGTCGACCAGCTTTTGAAAGTTTTCCTGATGTTATATGAACCGCAGATCCTTTGTATTTTCTCCGATAACCCTTTCACATTAGAAGTAAAAAAGACCTACATGTTTGTAATATGGGGAAAATTCCTAGTACAGGCATAAATCAGCATCTTTACGATCGAGCCAATGAAGGAATTTAGAAGAACTGAATGAGAGATATTGAACTGCAAGAGATGCGTAAAAGCGTAGAAAAAAGAAGGGAGCTAGATAACTAGCAAGCTAGATAACTATCTAGTTCCCGTTCTTATGATAGATAGATAGATAGATAGATAGATAGAAATAAAGCTGAAAGAAAGTTCAGAATAATGACATGAAGTGACATAGAAAGAAAGAAAGAAAGAAAGAATGATGGTATTTATCAATTCACCCACAGGAATTGAATGTGGCACAAGGCCTTTTTAATGTGGGTATGTCTGAGCCCGTAGGCCCAGCCAAAAATAAAACCCATCTAAACCCGTCCAAGCGGGCTAGTTCCGTCAACCTCCCCGAACGAAACCCCACCCTTCGGCAGAGCTTCGTCCGGGTTCCTCTCTGCAAGCAGAGAGTTCGACAGACACCCGACCCGGCAGCTCACAAAGCGCAGATACTACACTTTGATCCTAGCCACCGGGCCGAGCGGGTATTCTTTTTTTAGATACAAAGAAAGAAAGAATGATGGAAACATAGATAGATAGAAAGAAAGAAAGAATGATGGAAACATAGATAGAAAGAAAGAAAGAAAGAAAGAAAGAAAGATGAAAGAAAGAAAGATGAAAGAAAGTTCAGAACACTGATATGAATTGAGAAAGAAAGAAAGAAAGAAAGATAGAAAGAAAGGTGGAAACAGGGATAGATAGATAGATAGATAGATAGATAGATAGATAGATAGATAGATATGATTACGGCTTTACTTACAGAGACTTGCACATAGACTTTTCTACTAACTCGCATTCCTGGACTACTAATCTTCACTTCAAGTCTGTATTCTTACGTTTAATACACTTATTTTTCTACCTCAATTACTGGCGTTGTTTATTGATTTGTGCAGGATTCCATCCCCGGAATCCACAACAGATGATACATGTGGTTATTTATTGCTAGGACAACAAGGGGCGTATACTAAATAACAATGCTTTCTTTGCTTATGAGACAGTAGAACCAATAAAGAACATTATTTCAAACAAATCTTGTCAGTCCGAACATCACTTACTGCCGGAGAAAAAAAAAGTACACCCTTGTTCGAATTAACTGAAACAACAGCTTTAGTTTTCTTTCTTTCACCATTCGGTCAGTTTTGGACCCACTGGAGTGACAGGGCTTAATCGATTTCTATTTATTCCTCAGATTATGTCATTTGCAGTGGTGTAAAGTAAGATGAATCTGTTTTCGGGGTGTATGATGAAATTTCTTTGGCTTTGAAAAATATTGCATCATCAGTGATTGCATCAGATTTTCATCACGCCCAGGCACATTGTTGATTAGTTGTCCTACGGCTATTGTCTGTGATGGACGTTACTCCAAGGAAGCGTACGAAGATTTTTCGCTGCAGAAACACAATGGCAAGCCTTACCAGTGAGCAAATCAAAGTACTATAGTTTGGCCTGGAAACTCTCTTGATTTAAATCCAATCAAGGATCTGTGGTCAGTCTACAAGGAATGGACATACTAACATGTGCACTGGGTTATGTTTCATTGGAAAAATACGAAAAAAATTAAATAATAACGGAATTATTTGTTTTGTTTTAATTAATTTGCACAAGGGTGTAATCAAACCACCTTTAGTGAGCAGAGATCAAATCATATTTCCTATTCTGTACATCAGAGTAGATTTCGTTAAACAAGATGTAAAAGCTTTAGATAAGAACAACGAATGTTTTAAATACATAACTTCAAAATTCCCAAGTTTAATTTATATAAAAACATCAAGGCGGGAATTTTCGACTGTTCACATATAAGAATATTAACTAAATTCAGGTGTCATGAATGAACGTGCAAAATGCCTGATTCTCATTCGGGGACTCGACAGAAAACATTTTAGAGAATTACAGAGCAGATAACTACAAAGAAATCGTAAAAAGATTTATAAGGACCACAGTGGAAAAATGCATTTTTTTGAATAGGTAACTTAACCAATTTCCTAGTAAGTTAGGTAATCTAAGTGAAGAATAAGGGAACAGATTCCACCAAGATATCAAAATTATAAAGGAATGGCATTCCCATATGATAGCTGCTGGTGTTTGAAAAGCGACCTATCATCATGAAGCAAATACGCTAGAAAGTCTTGTAAAAGAACATTTTTGCCTTAGCGAAAGCTTCATATCTGTTTTTTATTATTATCATTATTATTATTATTATTATTATTCTATTTTAAGTCATTTCTATCGTTAAGATGGAATTTTTAATCCTCATTTTAAAAATCTGGAAAATGGCACATAGGCTGTTGACAAAAATCAGGACCTTATAGAGCCCAACCAATCGAAATTCGTATAGTGAAAGTAGGGGGCACCCAATGAGGATCGAACTCACTACTCAGTTGTAATTGTTCTCGCGAGACTAACTTGCTAACCATTACACAGCCTCGAGGTGCCCTAATCGAAATTCGTATCCAGCGCACCCAATTGACCTCGAACCAAGCGTCAGATATCCTTCAATAAAATACGTGTTCCCCAGTGTAATAATAAAAAACAAAGTCCTTTCATAAACAGACGAAGGATAGTCGGAAAGATAAAAACTAAGATGCATGTAGGCAAATAAATAGGGACATTTTTAGATCGAGATTGATCTAAATTTGAACAGGGTCAAATCCGTAGAGTGTGACAAACAGCCAAGTAGAAAGGACGACGTGACGGGGAGATGGGGAGATACGGTTCAACGATATTTATCAAGATATAAAAGAGGGTATATTTTATGCATTTTTTTTCCTGCTGCTGTTATGATATTTTTCTCATGTCAGTTTTAATGGAGTGACACGTTCATCTGTTACGAATGTCGCTTAATGGATGTCTGAATAGCGTGTGGTATGATCGTGAAATCTTATTAACAGGTGGATGAAGTGACGTTCGTACGTCAAGAAATGCAACAAGGTGTGAGGAATTGTAAAAAAAAAAAAAAGAAAAAAAAAGTGAGTCACTCTGTCAACAACAGCTCCAAACACAACCTGCGATAGATAGATAGATAGATAGATAGATAGATAGATAGATAGATAGATAGATAACAAACTGAGACACAGAGAGAAAGAGAAATTAACTGGCAGAGACAGATTTTCAAATATTAACATGTTGAGATAGACAGAGAAAAATACGCTAACAGTCTGGATAGATCGATAGAGAGATAGATAGAGGGAGAGAGAGAGGGAGAGGGAAAGAAAATACAAACACACACGCGCGCGCACACATATACACACACACACACACACACATATATATATATATATGAAGAGATAGATAGATAGATAGATATTAACAGACTGAGACAGCGATCATGATAGATAGATAGATAGATAGATAGATAGATAGATAGATAGATAGATAGATAGAAAGACTAAGATAGATAGATAGATAGATAGATAGATAGATAGATAGATAGATAGATAAGCGCAGACTATGATAGATTGAGAGACACAGATAAGCACAAAGATATATATATATATATATGTGTGTGTGTGTGTTTATGTATGTATATATGTATATATATACACACACACGCACATACACACACACACACATATATATATATATTTATATATTTATATATAGAGAGAGGGAGAGAGAGAGAGAGATGGACAGAATGTCACATATTGTAAAAGAGAAATAGGGATAGAGCGATATTAGTTGTACTAATTACGTATATATGCATACTTGCCCTTAAAGAGGTGTCAATAGCAGTTACGTTTATTATCTGAAAGTTAATTAACTATTTCCTAATCAAATAATATATGTTGCAATAAACATCAAAGGGTTAATCGCTCGTAATTATGCATTAATGGTTTTCAGACGCATGTAAAATAAAATGTCGACACGTTACATTCATTTCGAATTTAGTAAGTTTCTTCTGTCCACACCCCTGAATATTTTGAACATAGAAAAGTTTTATTTAATAACAAAGGATCAAATTCTTCTTCTAAATTCTTCTTCCAAATTTTTTCTTCCAAATTCTATTAGAAGAATTATGCCATATTTTTCTAAAGAAAGAACTTCATATAACAAAAGAATTTTTTTATGGAAGCAGATATGTTCGTTCTAAATTAGGTCGGACGATTTTGATGCTTTCTTTATTATTTACTAGCTTAAAAAAAACTTTCTCAATGTGGGCTTTTAAGCTAGAATCTCCGCAGAATTAATTGAACATCCGGCTAAATACTAATGGGACCTCGGTTTCAGTTTAGAAAACAGCAATGATAATTTTGAAGAATTAAATTTGAATTCCTCAATTCCCTCCATGGAACTTCAAAACCTCACTTTAAGTCCAATTCCCGTCAAAAGACCGATTTATGCCCAAAGACCCATGTGGAACGAAAGTCGAATTCGGGCAAAAGATTAATTTAGTCTGATTTGGGCCAAAAGTCAAATTCAGGCCAAAAATTGGAACTTCAACAACTCACGTCACAAAACCTTTCATTTTAACTCTGATTTCTTGCCATTTTGAAGAAATAAAATCAATTTCCCCAGTTCACAAATTTTTGGAGATATTTTAAAGTGAATTTAAAACAACTTATTTTAAATTTACAAAATTTTTGTGTTAGCTTAAATATAAATTCAAAACTTTTAAAACCATTAATTTTTATCAGCAATCTTAAAATTTGAATTTTTAACTATTCTTTCATTATATGGACACAGTCCACAATCCAAGATTTTCAAGCACCACATCAAGGGCAGATTTTCAATCCCGAGATCACCCTGATTCCAAAAAGGTATAATATGTCTATGTAGACTACGTTTGACCCGAGTTTTACAGGTATTTCAGAAATAAGGACGGACAGTCAGAAATTGCCATTTATTTATTTAGATTCCAAACATTTTTTTTTTAGAATATCCAGGTTGATTTATATTCTACGATTGTTATGTACTCAACATGTATCGGAAATAAAGAGTTAACCTGTCCGTACACTGAAAACACAGATTTTACTTTATATTATATATTTGTACTTTTCACGATCGATGCTATTCAAATAAATGCTCGGAAACCCAAGCTAGCCTGTTCACTGAAATTAAAATCGACAATAATAAATAGAAAAATAAACTAGTATGACTTATTATTATTTAACAATAATAATAATAATAATATGTTCTGACAAGAACAGGCCCACATTTTACGAAGGGCTTTATCTATGTAATTTTTTATTTTTATTTTTTTGTCAGTGGAAATTGTCATGATGCCATTTCTAACCTTTGGTCTCTGGGCGGGACCCGGAAAGAAATGTGTAAACGCGAGAAATCAAAGAAAATAATAATAATAATAATAATAATAATAATAATAATAATAATAATAATAATAAAGCCCGTATCATTTATGCAGAAGACCAATACTTGCTAACTAGAAATTACCAAGCACACACATAATGAAAATTCGTGTTAGCCCAACATGCAGATTGTGATAAATATCCAGAAACACTTGATCATCTTTTATCAGATTGCATGGTATTCGCACCCACTGAATATAAAACCCGACATGACAGAGTTGGCCAATATGTTCACTGGAAAATCTGCACTCTTTACGGAAAAGAAACTGTAAGAAATTGATATGAGGACCACCCAGACCTGGTTGAGGAGATAGGACCTGTAACAATTTTATGGGACTCCACAATAAGCACAGACAGAATAATCAAAGCTAATCGCGTAGACAGCGTGATTACAGGCCACAAAGACAAAAAGTACCTCCTTACTGACATTTTAGTCGCTACAGACTACAATGTAGCTTTGAAGATCTTCAAAAATCTATCAAAATACAAGGACTCTGAAATCGAAATCTCAAAAATGTGGCACATGAGAAAATCAATAATCACCTGTTGAAGTTGGAGCCTTCGGGTTGATTGGAAAAGATTCTAATAGACATATTGAAAGGATACCTGGTAGTCATGCCTTAAAGAAATACAAAAAAAATGTTCTCACGAGTACAGCCCACACCTTACGAAGGGTTTTATCCATGTAAAATATGTATGATATTTTTCAGTCATAATGCCATTTCTGACCTTAGCTCTCTGGTCGGGAATCGTAAAGAATTCACCAGAAACCAAAGGCAATAATAATAATATTATTATTAATAATAATAATAATAATACACACTGACAGAACAATCAAGGCCAACCGCCCAGATATTGATATTAAAGACCACAAACAAAAAAAGTGTCTCCTTATTGATATGGCAGTCCCTGCTGACTGCAATGTATCTTTGAAGATATTCAAAAAGCTGTCAAAATACAAGGACCTTGAAATAGAAATCTCGAAAATGTGGCATATGGGAACATCAACAATCCCTGTTGTAGTTGGAGCCCTAGGATTGGTTGGAAAAGATTGCAGTAGACAAATTGAAGGGATTCCTGGACGTCTATGCCTCAAGGAGATACAAAAAAAATTCTGACAAGTACAGCCCACACTTTACGAAGGGCTTTATCTATGTATTTTTTTTTTTTTGTCAATTTCTAACCTTAGGTCTCTGGGCGGGACCCGGAAAGAAATGTGTAAACGCCAGAAATCAAAGAAAATAATAATAATAATAATAATAATAATAATAATAATAATAATAATAATAATAAATAACTAGAAATTACCAAGCACACATACTGAAAAATTGTGCTGACCCTAAATTCAGATTCTGTCATAAATATCCAGACACAGAGGACAGTGTTAACTCCAACTGAATATAAAACTCAGCATGATAGAATGGGCTAATATCTACACTGGCAAATATTCCAATTTTTCGGGAAAGAAACTGCAAGAACCTTCGAATATACAAGGGGGAACTAAAAACAACACTAATGAACCTGAGTCTAAGTCTATTACAAACTAGGGACCGTACCAAATGGTGGTGTTTCCTCGCCATCAGAACCAAAAAACTTAGAAGCCACCAGAGACATCAAAAGACAAGACAGAAAAGGTTCGAAAAAAATCAACATCCATCAACATTAACATGCAGTCAAAGTCATCAACAATTTGATGCAAGAATTGGTCAATGCCATCATCATAGAGGAAACGATAATTAAGAATTATATTACAGTGGAGTAAATGATATCGACTCGGATTGAGGAATCGGAGAGCCGAGTTCGAATTCAATTCAAATCCATTACATTCACTTAGGTGCTAATACCCTTGGGAAAGGTATTAATCCTCTTCTTCTCCCCTCAGCTATGGCTAAATAGCAGGACAGACCGGGTTCTATAGCCTTGTATAGCAACTGGTCTACTGCAGAAAGAAATGGCAACCTATTGCGGAAAAAGCTTGCTTAGTCAGTCATGTGTCGAAAACTGTCTGATTCTTGAATACGATATAAAGCCGGGTGTTTCTTTGCTTGATGCAGGATATATTAAAGGCAAGAGAGCCAGAAGGAAAGCGCGTAACGGAAACAAGCTTGTGGATGGCCGAAAATGAACCGGTAGGGGATTTTATAAAAACGGATGTTGATTAGAGTTGCAAATTACAGGAAGTTGTGGAGAGCTATGATTGCCAATATTTTGGTGTGAGACCGTACATAAAAGAAGAATATTACACACAGCAATCTAAGTTTATCGTTTTAAAAATGTGAAATTCATTTTAACAAAGACTATGGACAAAATTAATCCAAGAAGCCCTCACTGATAAAAGACCGTTTGTTATTTGCGAAGAAAACTATAGCGATTTCAAATTGATACGCATTCTTTCCAAATGGTTAAAGGTTGGCCTTCTATGTGTGGCGATGAACTTAGGATTGAGCTTTATTAAACAAAGATGCCAAGGCTTTTATTTCTTCTAAGGATTACAGAGTTTTATTTCAAATTCTCGCGACAGAGATACCAAAATAGTTGTGAAGATTGTTATACGTTCATGTCTACGGAAAATGGAATCGGTTATTCAAATCCAAGTTCCGACCGTGAATTTTTTATCTTTGCTTTTATTTTTTTACAATGATGTTCAACCTGTACAAGGCCCATAAGTCACTTGATTTGGAGGGATAGAGAGTAAGAGGCACAGCTTATGCACAGTTGTGTGTTAAAGACGACGGTTTTCGCTACAGTTGATCAGGTTATGGTTGTAGTGATCGGAGAAGCAGTCACTTGTGAGTCGATTCCACGATGTCGCTTGATTGTATGATTGATTCGTTTTCTGCGGCTTATCAAACAATTATAGGTATATTAAATTCAGAAAATATTTTTTTTAGATTGTAAGACTCATTTTTTTTTTTAGATAATAATGGTTCCCGTGATACAAGTCTTACTGATTAACCCGTAGCTGAAGGAGAAAAGGTGAAATGACAGCCTTCCCGAGTGTATTTAAGCTTAAGTGAATATAGCGAACCCAACGAGAACTGAAAATCGGATTTCCGATTTACAATTTGGTGTCAACCTATTCCTGTTTCCCTGATAGCTATAATCTCCAACTATTCAAATGTAATGTCAATCGGCATCTCCA